CCTGTAATCCTAGCTACTCAGGAGGCTGAGATCTGAGAATCACGGTTCAAAGCCAGCCCGGGCAGGAAAGACCGTGAGACTCCTATCTCCAATAAACCACTAGAAAACCAGAAGTGGCACTGTAGCTCAAGTGGTAGAGCGCTCGCCTTGAGCTGAAGAGCTGAGGGACAGCGCCCAGGCACAGAGTTCAAACCCCATGACCGACAAAAAAAAAAAAAAGAAATTACAAGTGCTCAAGCCATCCCAGTGTGCTTTAGGCAAGAACTCTAATTTTCCAAGGCAGAAAAATAAAACACTTATTCCCACTTCACACAGTTGATCCTTAACATGACAGATGGAAATAAAACCCTGGTTTCCATGACACAATGACATTTTTGCTAGTTACATTTGGCTACCCATGTTTTATACAAGGTCCTGGCCTTCAACATCGTTTTTTTTTGGGGGGGAAGGGGGTCCGGTCGTGGGGCCTGAACTCTGGGCCTGGGCACTGTCCCTCAGCTCTTCAGCTCAAGGCTAGTGCTCTACCACTCGAGCCACAGCGCCACTTCCGGCTTTTTTCTTTTTGCTTATGTGGTGCTGAGGAATCTAACCCAGGGCCTCATGCATACAAGGCAAGCTCTCTACCACTGAGCCATCTTCCCAGCCCTTCAACATGATTTTATTCAGGGTTATGCACTGCCAAGAGCCCAGCTGGGAGTTGTCTATTTATGTGTCAGTTATGGGGCTTAAACTCCGGGCCTGAATACTGTCCCTTAGCTCTTCAGCTCAAGGGTAGTGCTCTACCACTTGAGCTACAGCGCCACTTCCGGTTTTCTGGTGGTTTACTGGAGATAAGAGTTTCATGGACTTTCCTGCCCAGGCTGGCTTTAAAGTACAATCCTCAGATCTCAGCCTCCTGAGTAGCTAGGATTACAGGCGTGAGCCACTGGCGCCTGGCTACCTTTTTTTTATTTTTTGCCAGTCCTGGGACTTGAACTCAGGGCCTGAGGACTGTCCCTGAGCCTCTCTGTGCTCAAGGCTAGCACTCTACCACTTGAGCCACAGTGTCATTTCCGGCTTTTTCTGTTGCTGTGGAACTAAGAATCAAACCCAGGGTTTCATGCTTGTTAGGCAAGCGCTCTACCACTAAGCCACCTTCCCAGCCCTCTACTAGCATTCTTTATTCCTGAGTGACTGAGAAGGCACAGTATGCCACTAACAAATCTGGATCATTTTACCAGCCCTGGTTTCTCCAGTCTTTTGGATTCTTTTTTCCTTTATTTACTGAAGATAGTTACAACTCCTATATAACAGAGTATTAACTTCTTAAAATAGGAGAAAAGGGAATCAGAAAATAGTTCCTAAATGTTAACCAACACTCTTAAGGGGAGTGTAAAAACAAAGGAAGAGAAGCTAGCCCCCTCCCTAGGGCAGCTCAGAATTACCCTAAATAAACCTCCAAAAATGGGCTGGGAATGTGGCTTAGTGGTAGAGTGCTTGCCTAGCTAGCATGTATGCAGCCTTGGGTTTGATTCCTCAGTACCACATAAACAGAAAGCTGGAAGTGGTGCTGTGGCACAAGTCATAGAGTGCTAGCCTTAAGCAAAAGAAGCTCAGGAACAGTGCCCAGGCCCAGAGTTCAAGCCCTAGGACTGGCAAAAAACAAAAAAACCTCCAAAGAAAGGGCTAAAGTAGAAAAGCCCTGCTCCATCAGAACAGAAATGAGCTGTGGATTCAGCCCCATGGTACAGCACTTAATAGGTACAAAGCTCTGAGGTCTATCCCAGTAAAACACACACACGCACACAAACACACACACACACAAACACACACACACACACAAAGTGCGCATGTTACAATTTCAGGAGCTTTAGAACATTGTGGATCCTGCCTTAAAAAGGAAAAGCAGCTATAGACTCTGGGAGGCATGGTAGACAACAGTTCAGTAATGCAAAGAAAAGACTGCTGGTTTTCATGTCTTTACACTTTTCGGTGAGTATTATCAAAGCCTTGAGTAGCTGCCAGAGGATTCTGTCCATCCCAGTGTGGTCCCCATGGGGGATACTCATTGCACCCACCCCCATGGGAAGCTGGAGAAGGTCTATACACACCTGATCACATCCTGCATTCACCAGCTCCTGAAGCATTTGCCGGTTTACCTCTGCAGCTGTGGAAGTGCCAGATTCATTGGCGAAAGGCAGTAGGGAATATCTGATTTCCCTGAGGGCTTTCTGGTAAGGTCCAAACTTCGGGGTAGCTCTCATCTGCTGCTGCCTGGCAGCATCTTTGCTCCCCAGGACTTTGGCATCCAGAGAAGCATCACTGTTTGGTCCCACGGGCAGTCCCTGGGTCGAAGGCTTGGGGGGCTGCTTTAACCCCTCTCGGATCTCTTGTAGTCGCTGCCGGCTATTTCCAGAATAAGTTGTGGCAGGAAAAGTCTTTGGCCTCATTGTTAGTCCCACTTCCTTTTACCATAAATACAATCTTCTCAAAGGGTTTATTATTTAAAAAAAAAACAACTTTCAATAGTCAACTAGTTGTAAACATACATTCAAAACAATTTCCTTTTGAAATTTTTCTTTCCTTCAATTTTTGTAGTTCCTGTAGAGAACCTACAATTTTCCAGAGTCTTCATCTTATAGACCACCACTTTCTAGGGAAAGGAGAAAAAAGAGAAAAATATTTATTTGTGGTTTCCATATAATGTTAATGCATTTTCAGAAATGGTTGGTGATCTTGGGAATACTCTACTTGGAAAGAAAAGTAAGAAAAACAAAAACAGTTTAGCAACACCAGAGTACAGGACATCTGGGGCTATCCCAAGATGTTTCCTGTAAACAGACCATCAAGCAGCAAGTGTATCTCCATAAATATCCTACCCAGGACTAGACCACTAAGTCCCAACAATGGACACGTCCTTTGAAATAGTTCATTATGATGTAATTTCATTTTGAAGCTCACAGCTTGAGTATTTACTTATGAATTTTTCTTTTTGATTGGTCATAGGGTTTGAACTCAGGGCCTGGGTGCTATCCCTGAGCTTTTCTGCTGAAGGTTAGTGTTCTACCAGTTTGAGCCACAGCTCCATTTTCCAGTTTTCTGGGATTAATTGGACATAAATCTCACAGACTTTCCTGCCCAGGCTGGCTTTGAGCTGCAATCCTCAGATATCAGCTTCCTGAGTATGTATGATTACAGGCATGAGCCACCAGTGTCGGGCCTAGAGTGAAATTATCTCAGTGGATTTCTGGCTTGTCCTTAATAATAACACATTAATTCTTGGTTTCCACTGTGATTCTGCTACCCACCTGAGGCTATGATCCTTTCAAATCTTTGGAAATTTTCCTAATAAAGCCCTCCCAATTTTCCTGAAAAACAGCACAAAATTTGTCACCAAAGATATCCTCTACTGTAGTCTAAAGCAGTTTGCATGCTGTGCATTATGAAACCACAGGCAACTACTTCCTTGATTTTTTACAATGTGATCACTCAGCATTTTGGCCTGAGCAGCAGCAGCAACAACAACAAAAAAAATCTCTTTTTTTTTCTTTCTTTTTTTTTTTTTGGGGGGGGGGGGGGTCCAGTCGTGGAGTCTGAACTCTGGGCCTGGGCGCTGTCCCTCAGCTCTTCAGCTCAAGGCTAGCGCTCTACCACTTGAGCCACAGCCCCACTTCCAGCTTTTTTTCTTTTTGCTTATGTGGTGCTGAGGAATCGAACCCAGGGCCTCATGCATGCGAGGCAAGCACTCTACCACTGAGTCACCTTCCCAACCCAAATCAATCTTTCTTGTAGAAGTTAATTCCTATACAGGAGACTGGTAGGAAGTGGACCTGTGGCTCAAGTAGTAGAGCACTTGCCTTGGGCAAAAGAAGTTCACAGACACAAGCCCTGAGTTCAAGCCCTAAGACCAAAACACACACACACACACACACTCACACACACACATGGGGGAGGAGGAAGAGGAAGAGGTGGAGGAAGAGGAGGAGGAGACTTGTAAAGGCACGTTGACCAGACACTTCACAAGCTAGTGGTATAGAGGACTACATCAGGAACATGGCCCCACTGTATGGCTACATGCCTGGGGTACTTTTCCACAGAGAATCACACTGATTACAGGCCTAAATTGTCATCTACTCAGGGTTGCAGCCCAATCCACACTGCCCTAGGTAGCTGGCTCTGGACTATGGTTAACTTGTTGACCAGGTGACCCAGGACAAGTCCCTTGACTTCCCTCACAGGAGCAGGTGTGCTGAACAGCAAGGAGAATGATGATAAACCAGCAGGATCTGCCCTACTTAGCATGATTTGAGTTGCCATTTTCCTCAACTGTAGTAATTCAAAAACACCAAGCATCCAGTAAAAACTATACCTGGGGATGCTGAACTTGCACGTTTCCTCGGGCTTTACCAATACATAGTCTGATCTTCTCCTGAGGCCTGGCAGTGGACCTCAGTTCCCAGTCAGCCCTGAAGCTCACAGGAGAAACCACAGCATTCCATACTATACACTGAACTGCTGAGCTGGGCTGCTCAATAGGTGATGTAGATAGGATGCATTTCCCACTTACAGTATTTTCCAGTTTAGGATGGGTCTCTGTCAGGATGTATATGAAGGAAGGCAGCATGCCCAGGTATCATAGCTGATATTGCACTGAAACCTAGTGGTCAGACCCTTCCTCCTTTTTCCCTCAACCTCATACCCTCCTCTTATTCCAAATAACTCAATGAGCAGACTTGGAAAGATAATCATTATGTATTATATTGTTTTGGGCAGTAAATGGAGTTGAACTCAAGGCCTCCACTGTACCACTTCAGCCACACCTTAATCCCTACTCCCTTATTGTTTTGGTTATTTTTCTCATAGGGGCTTGTGTTTTTGTTTGGCTGGGTTTTTTTGGGGGGGTCAGTTGTGGGGCTTGAGTTCTGGGTGTGGGCGCTGTCCCTCAGCTCTTAAGCTCAAGGCAAGAGCTCTACTACTTGAGACACAGTGCCACTTCTGGTGGTTAACTGGAGATAAGAGTCTCATGGATGCCCCTCAGTAGATGAATGGAAAGAAAATGTGGTATATATACACAATGGAATTCTATGCCTCCATCAGAAAGAATGACATTGTCCCATTTGTTAGGTAATGGAAAGACTTGGAAAAAATTACATTAAGTGAAGTAAGCCAGGCCCAAAGAAACATAGGTCCCATGGTCCCTTATTTGCAATATCTAGTATATGTCTGAGACAAGCAGAAATGGTCAGATAAGTTGATGTTAGGGAAAATGAACCCCAAGATAAGGACTCAAATGGTTTTTCTTTCTTGCTATTGTTTCTAAAATATTTATAAAATGATTTCTTTGTTGCTTTGTTATGTCCCTCCCCATGGTATAACCCCTGTTTTCACTGTATTTGATGTTGGTATAATTTGTGGAGGGGAAGGGAATAAACAAATTGTTTAAATAGGGATACAGGTGGACCCATTGCAACAATGAGAGGTACAAGATGTTATGCTGAAAAACAAACTTTACAACTTTGGCAGGGTTGGGGGGAGAGGAATGGGAGGGCAGGGATGGTAAGGGGAAACAAAGGAGGAGGTAACAATGCTTGATAAGAAATGTACTCATAGCTGGGCGTCAGTGGCTCACACCTATAATCCTAGCTACTCAGGAGGCTGAGATCTGAGGATCACAGTTCAAAGCCAGCCCAGGCAGGAAAGTCTGTGAGACTCCTATCTCCAATAAACCATTAGAAAACCGGAAGTGGCACTGTGGCTCAAGCGGTAGAGCACTCGCCTTGAGCTGAAGAGCTGAGAGACAGCATTCAGGCCCAGAGTTGCCCCACGACCGATAAAAAGAAAGAAAGAAAGAAAGAGAGAGAGAGAGAGAGAAAGAAAGAAAGAAAGAAAGAAAGAAAGAAAGAAAGAAAGAAATGTACTCATTAACCCTCTGTATGGTATTTTCACAATTTAAAAAAAACTTTTAAAAAATAAGATAAATAAAATAAGGCTATTAAAAAAAAAGTCTCATGGACTTTCCCTGCCTGGGCTGGCTTTGAACCTTGATCCTCACAGCTCAGTCTCCTGAGTAGCTAGGATTACAGGCATGAGCCACCAGTACCCAGCTGGGATTTTTTTGCCCATGCCTGGCCTCAGCTTCAGACCATAATCTTTCTACTTATATTCTCCTGTATAGCTGAGATCACAGTAATGTGTACCATATCTAGTTTACTGATTGATATGTGGTCTCCAATAAATTTTTGCCTGGGCTGGCCCTGAACCACAATCCTATCTCTACCTCCAGAGTAGCTGAGATAACAGGCATGAGCCATCCCAATCAGTTCTATTTTTTTGGCAGTACAGGTGATGGAGTAAGAGCCATGCACATGTTAGGCAAACACTCTACCACACAACTTATTGTTGAGTTTTGGTAAAGAAAGAAAACTGATAACCAATATGCCCAAAAGCATCCTTTAAGATCCTACTTCACCGAATGTTTACGGGAGGGGTGTGGAATGGCAGCTAACATTTACCTAGTATTTACTGTAGGCCAGACACTGTTCAGAGTGTTATATAATTAAGTTATATGCTTTAGCACATAGTATTACATCAGAAAATATTATAAAATGACACTTAATTTTTATTCCTTTCTTCACAGTTCAACCATCTACTCTCTCAGTGTTACTGAGAAGGCAGAATCAAACTTCCTACATGAACCCTCTATTTTAATGTACTCCTAGTATTTTTAGTCACTCAAACAATTGTATATAGGAGCTGGGAATGTGGCTCAGTGGTAGAGTGCAGGCCTAGAATGCATGAAGTCTTAGGTTCCATTCCTTAGTACCACATAAACAGAAAAGGCCAGAAGTGGCACTGTGGCTCAAGTGGTTAGTGCTAGCCTTGAGTAAAAGCAGCTCAGGGACGGTGCCCAGGCCCTGAGTTTAAGCCCCGGACTGACAAACAAGAAACAAAAAGCAAAAACAATTGTATAAAGCTGTACTGATAGAGAACTATGAGACCTGGGAGAGCCAAGGTTCCCCAGAGCCTCATTGTTGGCCTTGGCCCAGAAGCCTAGAGTTCTGCCTAATGCATGTAAAATAGGGCACATTGCAACCATCATTTGCAATGACTTCCTGGTCTGAGCATCTGTTTTGAAAGAACTGGTTTGCCAAAACCATAAATTCACATTTCAACAAAAATGGAGATTCCTAAGAGCCTGCTGAGGATGGAGGGAGACTCCAAGGAGTGAGTTGGATGTCTAGGAATTTATGAGAAGGTTATTTCTTTTCTGGTAGGAATTTATAACCAACCATTTGTTTTATACTCTCTTGTTTACTTCTCTTTCTTTGAAAACTAAACTAGAGAAGACATATGTCATACTACCTTCACAACAAGCAATGTAAGGGAAGAGTCTGACAGCAGGAAAGGTGTCCTCATGGTAAAAATGTGCTCATTCCAACTTCTCCACTCATGGTCTGCCCAGCATCTACCGTGACTACTTTGCAAACCATTTTCAGTTTTGTTTTGTGTTTTTTTTTTTTAGACAAGGCAAGGACTCACCATGCAGTCCAGGCTGGCCTTGAACTCACCAGCCTCCTGCCTCATCCTCCCAAGGGTGTACACCACGATGCCAGTGCAAACAGTCACAGATGGGAGGAATAAGCAAAACTGCATCTTATGCC